AACTTGCTTAATTAGGCCTGCTTTCTGATTTAGCTAAACTTTTTCCAGCCCAGTGAAGCACCTCAACTTCTCTTTCAGGTAATTGTCAGCAACACAATAGTAAATATCAATATGAAGCAGATTATTGTGGATCATGCACAGGAGAACAAAGGGTAAAATATTTAACTGCAGCAGTTTTTGACTATATTCTGCGCAGTGAGAAAACCTGAAGTCATTTTCAAGGTCCACCATTTCTTACTTCTTTTCAGTTGGGTCAAGTTTCTAAATCTCCGTTTTCAAGCTAATTAAAAGAAAATAGGATTCCACCGAGTCTCCTATCTACCTACTCCAGGACTTCTGAGAGGATCAAATGAGATGAACCATGGGAAAATGCTTCACAGACATTTGGTTAAAGTGTGAAATGTTTCCACCTGGCTATAAAGCAGGTCCTATCCTGGGCTGAAGAAACTGCAAGGAGGCTAGTCACTAGGGAGCAGAAGCTGGGCGTGGCTACTTGACATCATTACTCAGATGCTTAGCATATTAGCCTTTTATATATACACTAGAGGCCTGGTGCACAAAAATTTGTGCACGTGCGGGGGGGGGGGGGGGTGGAACCTCAGCCCGGCCTGTGCCCTCTCGCAGTCTGGGACCCCTTGGGGGATGACCACCTGCTGGCTTAGGCCTGCTCCCTGTGGGATCAGGCCTAAGCTGGCAGTCAGACATCCCTCTGGCAGCCCAGGGGCTCTCAGGGGATGTCCACTTGCCAGCAGGGAGCAGGTCTAAGCTGCAGTCGGACATCCTTAGTGGTGCTGAGGAGGGAGAGGCTCCCACCACCACCACTGTACTGGCAGCCATCAGCTTGGCTTGTGGCTGAGCAGAGCTCCCCCTGTGGGAGCACACTGACCACCAGGGGGCAGCTCCTGCATTGAGCGTCTGCCCCCTGGTGGTCAGTGTGTGTCATAGTGACCAGTCATTCCCAGTGGTTCTGCTGTTAGGTAGGGTCAATTTGCATATTACCCTTTTATTATATAGGAGGATAGAGGCCTGGTGCATGGGTGGGGGCCGGCTGGTTTGCCCTGAAGGGTGTCCTGGATCAGAGTGGGGGTCCTGCTGGGGTGCCTGGCCAGCCTGGGTGAGGGGCTGATGGCTGTTTGCAGGCTGGCCATGGCCCCCAGCCACCCAAGCTCCCAGTGGAGGCTGGCTGGAAGCAGGTATCTGGGATTTATTTATCTTTTATAATTGAAACTTTGTTGCCTTGAGCAGAGGCCACAACCAGCCAGGGCAGGTGGGAAGCTTGGCTTCCTCCATTGCCAGGGCAACCAAGCCTCCTGCTTGCTCCAGCTCTGTGGCTGCTGGCCGCCGTCTTGGTTGGGTTAATTTGCATATCATTGCTCTGATTGGCTGGTGGGCGTGGCTTGGGGCATAGCGGAGGTGCAGTCAATTTGCATGTTTCTCTTTTATTAGATTAGACTGATGCACAAATTTTTTTTTAAATTGCTTAAATACAAAGGGTATTACACATGTGTCCATTTTTCCCCCCCCGCCCTAGACAGTCCCCTAGCCTCCCCTCTCCCCCAGTGTCTTATGTCCATTGGTTATGCTTATATGCATGCATACAAGTCCTTTGGTTGATCTCTTACCCCCCTACCTCCTGTCCCCCACCCCTCCCCGGCCTTCCCGCTGCAGTTTGACAATCTGTTTGAGGCAGCTCTGCCTCTGTATCTATTATTGTTCAAAAGTTTATAATGGTGTCTATTATCCATGAATGAGTGAGATCATGTGGTATTTTTCCTTCATTGACTGGCTTATTTCACTTAGCATAATGCTCTCCAGTTCCATCCATGACGTTGCAAATGGTAAGAGTTCCTTCCTTTTTAGAGCAGCATAGTATTCCATCGTGTAGATGTACCACAGTTTTCTAATCCATTCATCTACTGATGGGCACTTAGGCTGTTTCCAGATCTTAGCTATGGTGAATTGTGATGCATAAAATTTGTGCAAGGGGCTCAGTACCTCACAGCCATGGTGGCTGCCGTGGCCCTCGAAGCCCCGGCATTGTCTGGAAGGTTGTTCGGCTGTCTGGTCTAATTAGCATATTATGCTTTTATTATTATAGATAGATAAATACACTCAATCCCTGGGTTTTTGTTCCTCACAGAGGGGAACAGGAATCTTGTGTCAAGAGGTGACCAGAAGGCAGGGATAGCAGCCAACTCTGGGACTGGGAGGTATATAATTGAGGCTTGAAAGCAGGGGTGCAGTTAGTTTAACCCACACTGATAACTAACTGGCTGATGCACTTCTGGGAAGTGGAAATGGACCTGGGAGATGCTGCTTTTCCCCCATGTCCCTGTCATTTTTCCTGTTCAGTATCATCCCCTTTTAGGCCCTCAGCCTTTGAGCTGTGGAGCATCCGCAGTAGACATCTTTCCTATGTAGGTGTGGTCTGCAGCATGGGCTGCATTGTAACAAGCCCCATCCTAGAACTGTGTCACCAATCTGCTCAGAACCTTTGATATCCTCTCTGTTCCCACTAACCACAGGATGACCTGGCATTCAAGACCCTCCAGAATGACCTCACTACCATAATGTGCCCTATGCTGCTACACACTTTACCACTCGTCCAACATGTCCTGAGCCCATTCCAAGCCCAACCCACTCCTGCTGCTGCCTGGTGTGCCCAGCCTGCCCTCCCTGCTGGACTCCTACCCAACCTACAGGGCCAGCTCAAATGCCATCTCGTCCTCCCTCCTGGATTACCTATATGGAACAATCTTCTCTGATCCTGGCCTCTGCCAAATTATCTAGAAGCAACCTTGTCCTCTATCAAGTCCTGCACTCTTCTAATTCTCACATTCCTGGCTTCTTTGTAAGCCCTGCAAGGGCTTTAGTGAAGAGCTCTGGAGTAGCCAGTGTCAGTGTGGTGGGCAGCCCCACCTCTCAGCATAATCTGGAAGAATCTCAAACATTTTAGCTTCTTGACCCTTCTTATTTTATAATCCTCACCTGAGGATATTTTTCCATTGATTTTTAGAGAGCGGAAGGGAGGAGACAGAGAGAAACATCAATGTGAGAGGGACACATTGATTGGTTGCCTCCTACACCTGCCCTGACCTGGGCCAGATCTCTAGCCTGCAACCGAGGCACATGTCCTTGACTGGAATCAAACCCAAGACCTTTCAGTCCAAGGGCCGACACTCTATCCACTGAGCCAAACCCTTCTTCTTGGGCTGTTAGATCAGAACTTCTGAGGGGTGAGGCCAGAAACCTGAATTTTATGCAAACTCTGGGAGGTACTGATGTGGTAATCACTGGTATATGGGATGGGCACTGACCTTTGTAAACCCAGACAACCTTCTCTGAGTCATCTGTACTAGGTCCTGCCTGTCAGGGTTGCTTCAAGGAAGGATCCCATGGAATAGCAAACACACCCAAGACAGAGCTAGCACAATGCTTCACATATAAAACCACTGGGAGGAATTAGTCCAAAGCACAGTGATGTTCAGGACTACACTCTTTGTAATAGTGAACATCTAAACCACCTAGTTATCCAACAGTGGAATACATTTTCTAGTACATTCACCCTAGGGTTATCCAGCTATTAGAGGTGATAGAGGAAAATACGTCCACACTTTCACCTGTGGTGACTAATCTCCAAGTTGAATCTCATAGAGCCAGGCCTCCTGGTACTCAGATCTTATGTGGTCAGTGCACTCCCACCAGGCACCTGGGCTTGCCTTGTAACTTGCTTTCACCATGATGTGGCAGAAGTGATGCTGTGCCAGTTTTGATCTTAAGCCCAATGTCTGACAGCTATTACCCTTGCACTTCTGGGAATCCAGAGCCATAAAGAAATCTGCCCACCCTAAATAGAGGCCTCATGAAGAGTGAGGCCTGAGATCTCATGGAGAAGTCCCAGCACCCCTCCACCCCCACCAAACACCAGCTATGTGCCTGAGCAATCGTCTTGAGTGTGCCAGGACTTCAAAACTGGAGGAGCAGAGCCTCCCAGCAAAACCGGGTCAACCAGCAGTATCCTGAGACATAATGAAATGGCTTAAAAGCAACTAAATTAGGTGTGTGTGCTACATGGTAACAGATAACCAGACAAGCTGCAAAATGGCACATGAAGCATTATCTCAACTTACGAAATATGCAAAATTAAGAGGACAAATACTATTTATTAGCAGTGATTTTTTTCTGCTTTATTTTTTGCCTAAGTTTTAGGTTTTAAACAATGAACATGTATAACTTAAGAAAACAATGATGTCATACTTGACTGTAAAATCCATTTGTTTCAGTTCCACTGAGTGTACCTAGCTCCACCCCGACCTGCCCTTTCACCTTTAGTGGAAGGCCACACTGATAACTAACTGGCTGATGCACTTCTGGGAAGTGGCAATCACCACTTGTCAAAAAGTTCTCCATTTCCACTGCAGAGACCATGGATCTATGGAGCAGATGCACCCAACACTAAAGGGAATCAGGTCTCCCTTTAATTCCCTGCGTTTGTCCTAAGCCCAGCTAGTACAAGAAAGTCTCTCTTAGGTCACCGAGGAAGAGAGACACAAAGCTGCCTTTCCATCAGGATAGACAGCACTGTGTCCTCAGCCCTGCCACCCAGCTGGCATTTTGGTCGTTCCTGCCCCCATCCTAACTTTTCTCACAATACTGGCTATGGGAGGTTAGTCACTTGAATATTACGTTCCAACAGAAGAGGACAAAATTCAGAGTGGAACAGAGGTCAGCCACGGCAGCCCCACTGTAGAAGAGGGTACTGTTCTTTTAGCCAGAACATGCCACACAGAAAGAACCAGGGGCAGAAAACTGGCCTGGCATCAGGCACTGAGCTACTACGCCATGCCGGGGAGAGGACACTGAGCAATCAGGCCTGAGCTGACCCTTCTTAGTTTACACTGTGGAATGCAATGGTGAAAGAGCAGAGCTGGGAGGAGCCGTTACTGATATTTTAGACTTTCTTGAAGCTGCTGCTGAAACCATCTTGCTTCAGTCTAATATTTAAATAACATGTAGTTTTTATTTGTGATGAAAGAGATGCCAGATACTCTGAAGTCAGCTCTAATGGGGAAGAAAGCACAACTTTTATGGAAGAGACCTTGAAAAAGAATATCAAAGCCTGCTTTTATTAATGCACCAGTAGTAAACTGACCCATGATCTGGAAGGGATGGTAATGTTAATAGATATCCATCATCAAAACTGAAACAGAAAGATACCTGAAATGGCTTTTACAGTGACATGATGCCTTAATAAGTTAAGGAAATGGATTGCTCACTAACTGCTTTCTCATTTCATGTTCTTTACAAAGTCTTCTCCTTTCTTGATTGAGGCTTTCAGCTCAGGAATGGCCTCAGCTATCATCTTCTCTTCGAAAGAGGAGATTTTGCCAATGCCTAGATTCTTCTCAATGCCCTTTTTCTGAAAGAGAGAGGACACAGAACCGTTTTACAACAAAGCTAGTTTCCATGAATGAGTTTGTTATAGAAAACCCAACTTTAACTTCACCATCTCTGCCTAGACGATCCACACCTGTGGCTCTGGGCTGTGACACTATCATGTACCCTGGACGATGGTTTCCACACCAAGACTGCTTCCTTACCTATAAAATGAGCAAACTACCCCAAGGGAGGCTGTGCATACACGTGGAAGACTTGGCACATCAAGTTCTCCACAAGTAGTAGCACTTCAAGCTATTCTCCCTGACACAGAGCATACGTTTGGGTTCCAGTTTCTTTCCCAAGTTGGTAAGGACTAAACAAACATTTTAATATCCACCTGAATTGAATGTAATTAGGTAGGTGAGTGTCTGACATTATGAAAACAGCACCGTCTCTGCTACTGTCCATCTCCGTGGAAAGCCCTTCCTGACCCAGACAATCAGCCTGTGTGCTCCTTTCCTAAAGGTCTTACCACATCCTGCTCCTGCCTGTGCTGAACTGGTTTCTGAATTAATCTATTTAGTGTCTGTCTGTCCATCACAGAGAGCCCCTGAGGCCTGAGGCCATGTCTTATTGACCTTTGAAAATCGGGTGTCTGTGGGAAGGGCCTCTTTGTGGCCCAGAAAGTACCTAATCTGTTTCTTTCCGGGAATGAGATGAAGGCCAGCACACATTTACCTGATTTCAGCAGTTCCACACTTAAGAAATGGAAACCTTGGCTTAATGGTGTGTGTGAATGAGATCTAGGGGCAGTGGCTCACTGAAGACTCAAAAGTCAACCAAGCAAAAAATCAGCCTGTCTGAAGCCAGCAATGTGACCAGATGGGCTCCGTCCTAGACACCAGTTTCAAGGGAACAATCAGCAGCACATTCCAAGGAAAACCAGTGGGATGAGGAGCAAGGAACCAGGAATGCCTGAACTGGGAAGTGTAACAGCTGTGCATCATCTCCAGACTTCTCTCGAGGAAGAACTAGGCTTGGCAGGCCCTGAGAACTAACAAGTATAAGTTACAGGGAAATGGCTACAGGCTGGGGTGGAGAAGTCTCTTCTTTCAGAGCAGCCTGTGGGAGCATCTCTTTCAGAGAAGGTCTCATCAGGAAACACACTCAGGCAGCCACTGATGACCAGCTGTCAGGCCCACAGGCAATCAAATTTCTGTGCCAGGATGTGCCACGCCCATAGTTTCTCCTTGCTCTTAATTCTATGATGTTCTTCAACCCTCAAAAACCTAAGCACAGGCCATGCAGTGAGATTTGTGACTGCAAAAAAACCTCTGAATTATGAAGCAGCCAGACAGGACAGAGCTAAGTCTTAACTAACGTGAACTCGCTGTCCAGTCAAGAGACCCAGCCTCTGGGATACATACCCCCAGCAGCAATGGTGTGGAGAAATAGGAACAGTCCGTTTCTTGGGACTTAACAAAGGAACATTCAACAACTCCTTCCTTTCCGTTGATTGCATCCAAAAGGGAAAAGACAAACCGTGCTCCAGCATATGCCATGGACAAGGTGGCAGAGCCTAGGGGGACACAGAAAGGTTAGCCAAGCTAGCACAGAAGACTGTAAAATCCTGGTAAGCCTGCCCTGCCAGCTAAATAAAGCATCTGTAAAATCTCTAGCTTTAGTCGTCAAGAATTTAGGTCAGCAGTCCTCAATTCACAAACTCATGAATGGCATGAATTAGCTTTGCCAACCTCAAACACCACTCTACTCCACCGAGCGGGCCGAGCTACACTCTGATATAGGGTTTTCTATCAAGTGAACATTTAGAAAAAGGTTTGCTCCTTCAGTCTTCAACTGTGAACTCTTAACAGTGACTCTGGCATCAGCACCCCACCCATGAACTGCCTCGGAGACCCTACCTGCTCCAGCTTTAGCCTTGACCACCTCCGTGCCAGCCTCCTGGATCCGTCCAGTGAGGGTTGTCAGCTGGTCCTGGGGGAATTCCACCTTGGGAGTGCACTGCAAGCAAAAGTCACAGGGATCCTGTGAGCAGGTTCAGATCCCACACTCTCCTCACCCTATTCACAGAGGGTTCCTTGCATCATCAATACACGGGAAACCAAGAGCTTTTCTTTAAAGAAAAAGTCAACTTTGTTAACTTTGTTGGGAGGTGTAGTGAATTCCCCAATCATTTTAAAGAACTTTTTATATTTGTACTAATTTTAGACCCAGAGAAAAATTGTAAGTACGAAGACTCCCCTCACTTGTTTTCCTCATGCTAAGCACAGTGCAAACAGGAAGAACAGGAGATGAGTACATCCAAACTCCAGACCTTATTAAAATTTCACCACTCTTCCCCCTACTGTCCCTTTTCTGTTCCAGGACCTACTCAGGACCTTACCGGCAATCGACTAGACTATTTCACCGTAGCAATTCTCTAACAGTTCCCGTCTTCCCTGGTCTCTCGTGACCTTGTCAAGAGTATTGTCACTCATTTGGTAGAATGTCCATCAGTTTGGGTTTGTAAGGTGCTTCCTCGGGATTTTGTGCAAGGTCATGCATTTTTGGCAAGATTAGCACAAATATTTTGTGTCCTTCTCCGTGCACTGTACTCGGGTTTATGAGGTTGATTTGATATTATCATTCTTAGTGGTGTTACCTGGTCTCGGTCTAGTTTTCACACAAAGCAGCTTTGCCTGCTCTGACCTCAGCAGAAATTCATGAATGTTTCTATCAGCAGTTTTCACTGTATGCTGGAGCTGGCTGCTTTGAGCACCTTCTGACTACTCTCACCCCATACAACCGTGGACCCCTGAAACACTGGAAGCTGACCACAGCCCCACACCAGTCAAGAAACCCCTGGACAACTGGGGTGGGCTGCATCCATAGCATCCTTTCAAAATATAACAGATCTTTGTAATCTTTGTCAGTCTGTCCTGAGTGCCTCAAAGTAGATCTTAAGGCTTCTTGGCAAGGTCACAAACATACCTGAGAGATCAGGGGGATGATGGTCTTCCCAGCATGGCCACCAATGACAGGAACATTGACTCGAGCTGGATCCAAACCCTGGTCAACAAAATGTGAAACATGATTAACTTTGAACAAGCTCTTTTGAATATAAAATATGTCACATCTATCCAAAACACCAATATTGGAAAAATCCACAGAACTGAGAACAAAACAAAAAAATTAGAAGAGACTGACTCCAGCCTTGCGCAAATCTACCATGGCCCCACCCACAGTCTGACATCAGTCTGAACACAGGCAGTGGGGAGTAACTTGTCATCTTGTGAGGTCACGAGGTTTTCCCTTTATGAGTTGAAAACTGCCTCCTTGTAGGCACCCCCTGCATTGGTCCCTATCAATCTCAGAATCAAAGGATGACAGTCCTCTTTCCCACAGCTACTGTTATTCCAATGCACAAGCCCAGACTCATGTGCCCACACTTTTTCAAAGAACAAGTCAAAGTAAACTTCAAAACAATTCCAGGAAACTAGGGGTGAGAAGTCTGTTAACTCACACAGTGATTGGGACAGAAAGAACAAAACTGGGAAGGCTCAGAACACCCTGGCTCATTAGTGAGCTAGCCGAGAGAGGTTGGTTCGTTTGTTAAACTGAGGTACAATGCCCCTGAGAATCTGTGAGCCAGGTATTCTTACGACGGTCAAAAAAAGAATCTGGTGGAAGTTATGGGTCGGAGGTGAACCTTTTCCAAATGCTGCAGCTGCTGAAGAGAGCAGCCCCAAGTTAGGAACCACCAAGCCTCGGGTGGGTGGGTGGGGAGGGGAGGGGGCCGAGGTAGGCAGGAACAGCAGGATCAACTGAAAAGCAAGGAGCTCAGAAGCCAAGGTGCTGTGCCAGACACCAGGGTCGCAGGCATGGAAAAAGCCCCTGCTTTTGAGAAACCTGATGTCTAATGAGACGATACAAAGGGCCGTTCCAGCACAACACTATGGAAGCCAGAGGAGCACTTCATCAGCATGGGAAGGCTTCCTGGGACTGACCTCATTCCTCTGGGAAGGAACAGGACTTCCCCCAATGTGGGAAACTGTTTATTGCCTTCACTATCTGATAAGCATAGACAGAGAACTCACCGAAACCCCCCCAAGGCTGGGTGCCTTTGAAGCCCTAGCAAAGCTCGGAGCTAGGCGCCACCTGTTTGTCCAGACAGTGGTAGCTGAAACTACTCCCCCATTTATTATTATGTAAATCTTTGCTGATGGGCTAGTCTGCTTGTTACTAGGGGGTCACCTGCCTAAGGGCTATGCTATGGGTGCATCCCAGATCAATAAAAGCTTGGTGAGGCCTGAGCACGGGGGAAGTCCTTCGGACTTGCCGCCTGGTCCCCCAATATTGCAAAATTATCTCGTGTCTTTTTCTCTCATTTGTTGTGCGGCTCCTCTTTCAGATACCGAACCCTACTCCACGCGGAACGTGGAGGGAGTCTTACTCGACACCCCAAGGGAAGCATATTCTAGGCAAAAGGAGCAAAGGCCAGGGGGTATGAAATATGCATATAACATCAGCAGAGTATGACATGTAAACTCATAGGAGCCCAGGGGAAACGGTGTGCTCTGACAGCTGGCAGCACCACCGGAACCCTAAGAGAATGAGCACTACTGCTTCCAGGAAACTGGGGTACAAGCTTCAGGAAGCTGGAACCCCAGCTCTCCAGCCTGTGCACTCTCAGCTTCAATGTGATCTTCTCCACAAAACCTTAAAGTGTTTCTCCATTCAACAGAGCTCCCAAGGCCTGGGGCTATGTTTTATGGACCTTGATGACCCCCACACCTAGAATCAAGCCTGAAGAACATGGTGAAGTATGAATTAAAGTGGGTCGTCATCAACACTCCAGAGACAGACCTGTCTGGTGCACAGGGGAGTAACATAAAGGTCAACAGTCCTGTGTGTGCACTTCTCACTAAGCTGTGTGCATGACAATGATCCCTACTTTAGAGAGGCTCCTCTCATCTGAAAAGTCAGGAAAAAAATGGTCTGAAGTTCAAAAAAATTTTTGGGGACCAAAATAAATGGTTTTGCTGGATCCACAACCAAAGATTATACAGCGAGTTGTGAAAGGCACGGAAAACCCCAGACCTAGCACTGATGCCAAACCCACCTCAGGGCGAGTCCACAGCTCAGTCCAGCAGCCCAGGAAGAAGCAGACAGCTGGCAAGATCAGAACTCTCCGAGAAAAGCTACCACAGGTAACCCAAGAAGGGGAGTCAGAACTACAGCCTGGGGACAGCAATTCTGCTATCTTGTCCAATAATTTATTTATTTATTAACAGGTAAACCCTGTTAATACTAGTTTTCAGAGGCAATAAGCTTGGAGAGCACAATTCAGTCCAGCCAATGAGAAAGCTGGGGAAAGCCTGAACCTCTAAAGCAGGGGTGGGCAAACTTTTTGACTCGAGGGCCACAATGGGTTCTTAAACTGGACGGGAGGGCCGGAACAAAAGCATGGATGGAGTGTTTGTGTGAACTAATATAAATTCAAAGTAAACATCATTACATAAAAGGGTATGGTCTTTTTTTTTTTAGTTTTATTCATTTCAAATGGGCCGGATCCGGCCCGCGGGCTGTAGTTTGCCCACGGCTGCTCTAAAGCATCAAGAGAAGAGTAAGCTAAGTCAAGACTAAAGCTATTGGTTTAAACCTGCAGGGGCCTGCTGATGCCCCAAGAAAACGTGAGAGCTACTTCCCACCACAGGGCAAGCTATTAAAAACATTTAAGCCTGGCCAAGGTGGCTCAGTGGTTGAGCCTCCACCCATGAACCAAGAGGTCACTGGTTTGATTACCGGTTAGGGCACATGCCGAGATTGCAGGCTTGATCCCCAGTAGGGGCCGTGCAGGAGGTAACCGGTTGGTGTTTCTCATTGATGTTTCTATCTCTCTATCCCTCTCCTCTCTTCTTCTCTAAAATCAATAAAAACGTATCTTAAAAAATAAAAATACTTAAAACTCCCAAATTACAAGTGACCTGTAAATGCCCTGATGTCTTCTATGCCCATAAAAGGACCAAGGATGGCCCAGAGAAGTTCAGAAACGGAAGCTTGAAAGATACCCGATGTGGCTCTTACCTTCAGTTCTGCAACAAAAGCATTGGCTCTGACAACGTCCAGGGTTGTCACCCCAAATATCTTATTGGGGTTGTATACTCCATGCTTCTTAAAAACTTCAGATGTGATTGGGATGGTGGAGTTAACCTAATAAATCCAAGAGACAGGCATAATTTGCCAGGCATTCTGAGAACACAGTCATATATCGAAGGAGATGGGTTACAGGGGTGGACTTCCTCTTCTGCCAGAGTGCCTCCTTCCCTTCCCACATGAACAAAGAAACTCTGCACTGCAGCAGGCACTCTTCCTCTTGGTGGCCCCTGAGCCCATAGTTCAAATATGCAGCACACCCTGGAACTATCAGCTTTAAAATGTGATGATGGCTACACAGGTCATCTTCGGCTCCAGCTAGAACTTACACCTGAATGGCCATTCCTAACAAAAGAGCATAGCACAGGGCTAAAAGCTCAGATGGCACAGGGTCAAGTCCCAGCGCTGTCACTCCATGTGGTTACCCGGGGAAAGCTACTTTAACTCCCTAAGACTTGGGTTCTTTATCTGTAAATGGGGATAAAACCACTTCATAAGGCTGTTGAGAAGATTAAATGACTATTACATGGCAAGTGCCTAACACTTGGTTCACAGAAACAATATCATTAAAACAAAACAGCAAGATATACATTAGGCACTAGTCAGCTCCCTGATAAAAGAAGCAACTGCTTTCTACTTTTGACCAAATGGCCCTGAGGAAGGGTGAACAGGCTGGGAAAGACAGGATCCTCTTCTCAGAGGCCACTGCATAAGCTCTGGGTGTTTATCAATGGTCACGTTCCTCAGTCAACATCACTACCATGGCACTGTCATACTCAGAGGCCAGAATCCAGTCAATCAGGAGGGAGGAATGAATGAAGAGGGCTGCTGCTAAATACAACCCAAGGGCCTGCTAGGATAGTCGTGGGAACCTTCTCAGAGAGGGCACAGCACTCAGAGTTTCTGAACTGAAGATTAAGCAGGCAGGACCTGATGTGACTGCATATGAGATACATGTGTAAGTTTGAGAAGAAAGGGAATGTTGAGGGACCAGGAATTGCAAACCCTGGGTAGAACATAGTAAAAGGAGTTCAACAGGCTCCCACAATCATGGCTGGAAGAAGCCTTAAGAATGGACTTATTTTCCAGGTTGAGAAACTAAGATTATTCAGACAAGGGAAGTGATTTGCCCAAAGGCATACAGCTGATGAAAAAAACAGGTTAAAACTCACTTAGTCTATGCCCGAAGGAAGGAATCCTTAGGAAATAAATGTAAGGACCTCTTTTTAGTTCCCCCAACTTACCATTTCAGTATGTTAGTCTGATTATTCTCCCTATAAGACATTAGCACACTTTTGCTGTGAGCTTTCATATGTATCAGCAACCTACCTGACAGCAGCACTCACCGGATTTGCAATGACACAGATCATGGCCTCAGGGCAATTCTGGGCACAGGCAGCAGTCAGGTTGGCCACGATTGTGGCATTGGTGTTGAACAGGTCATCCCGAGTCATGCCTGAGAATGATCCAATTCAAGATGTTCACAAAGCACAGGACAAATTTCTAAATATGTGCCAAGAGCTGTTTGTTAGCTGGTATAGGAAATTCAAACAAGAGTGACACAGGGTCCCCATTTTATTTATTTAAATATATTTTTATTGATTTTACACAGGAAGGGAGAGGGAGAGATGGAAACATCAGTGATGAGAGAGAATCATTGATCGGCTGCCTCCTGCACGCCCCACACTGGGGATTGAGCCAACAACCTTGGCATGTACCCTTGACCGGAATCGAACCTGAGACCCTTTAGTCCGCAGGCTGACGCTCTATCCACTGAGCCAAACCAGCTAGGGCAGGGTCCCCGTTTTAAGTTAAACTACCGTGTAGGAAAAACAGTCCAGTGTGACAAGTGCTGAAACAGAGGTCTGTGAGGGTGAAGAGTGGGGATGGGAGTCAGGAAGGGTGATATCTGAGGAGGAGGGGGGTCATGAAGAATTCCCAAGGTGGAGACAGGAGAAGAAAGGGCATTCCAGGCTGGGGAGGAGGGATGAGCAGGAAACACATGAGGCCTTGATTTTTATCCCACAGGCATGGAGAGCTTTGACATTTTTTCTGCAGCATAGAGATCTGACTAGATCCATTTTTTATGGAAAACTACTTTCTCAACTGACTTGTAGGGCAGTTTTTCAAATACACACCTGGTTTTCTTGGGACTCCAGCTGGAATAACCACCAAATCACAACCTTTCAGGCAGTCTGGTAGTTGCTCAGGTCCGAGGTAGCCTAGAAAAAAAACGCCCAAGCAAGCAATCTTATAGTTTGCAACCAAGAGAGGCTAGCACATCTACGGGGACAGAGCCCAGAGAACTGCCCTACCTGTGTCCAATGATGACCACAGGCCACAGAAAGCCTGGCAAGCCCACTTGTGATGTGATTCCTTTCCTTGAGGACTGCCACTCTGTGAGTCTGACATTTCTGGCTGGCAGGAATGCCCCCCTTTCAGTCTACTTTTCTAGAGCCTCCATTTGTCCAGATCTGGATTCAGAACGGATTACCCCTCCAGGTTTGCATAACATCAAACCAAGCCAGCTGCTAATCTTTACTCCCTAGCATATGTAAGTCCTTCTCAGCTCCCAGTTAGAAGAGTTGCTTACTCTACATCATGATCATCCTAACAAAAGTGACATCTTAGGGTCAGACCAGAAGGCACACTGAAGGCCACGAAAAAGAAAACCAAAACCCTGTGCTGATAAAAAAGAACTCTAAGTATTAGTACCTATTTGTTTATTCCTAATATCTGAGGAAAATAAGGTCTACATTCAAGGATTTCAGGGAAATTTGCTCCAAGACCAAATCTGCTTTGATTTTAATAGACTTTTCCCTTATTTGCAAAAGCTTTCAGAAACTCAGACCTACAACACAAAAGAAAATGAACAAACAAATTCAGAGGGACTAGGGAAGGCTCATAAACATATGACTTGACAGTCAGCCTCCTGTGTTGTCTGCACCATTCTGGACAGTAATTTGGTACTTCACAGTAACAGCTTTAATGTAGTCACATTTACTGTAAGTGCCCTACGGGCTCTGAGAAACAAGATATAAAGATGAAGATATTTATCACAGCTTATATATTTATATTTAGAGGAAAACAGGAAAGAGCCAATGGCCAACAGTTTGGGAATAATAGTAAGTGATAAATTATAGTAAAGCTTTAAAATGATGTCACCAAGAACTTGGTACGTGGGAAATGTTGCTAAGATGTGAGGTTAAAATAAGCAGGACATAAATTTTTATAGACTCAAGTCCAAAAAAGTGTGATCATTTGTAAAAGTTAATGCTAAACTGAACATGAACATCCCAAGTCTCTGAACATCTAGTTTCATCTAAGGCTCTTACTGTAAACTTGGATCCTAGCCTCTTAGGGAGAAGAGATGTAATTCTCCAGGCCCAGCGTGCTCAGTACCTTTCACAGACGCTCTGGTCTCAATGTGGCTCAGATCTGCGGCCACTCCGGGTGTATGAGCAATATCATAGAGGGTCAGGCGGCTCACCAAAGGGCTATTCTTCAGGAGAAGCGAAAGGGGCTGCCCAATTCCTCCGGAAGCCCCGAGCACAGCTACTTTAGCATTGTTCTAAAAAGAGCACAGAGAAAGACCTAAGATAGAATCAGCATTAAATGGATTCACATTAAAAGGATACCTCCTGCAAAGTACTGCACTGGCCTCTTATTGCACAGATGCCAAAGGAAGATACAACTGTAATTCTACCATCCAAAGATCCAGTTTCCTTGCGAAGGTTAGAGGCGTGCCTCAGGAACATGGGGAAGAACTCAGGTTTGTAGAGATTTGTGACAGGATATACTTATAGCAGCCTCTGAAAGATGAATAAGCGTTACTCATTCAGGCAGCTGAACTGGTAACAGCAGCCTTACTTTCAATCTGCAATTTTAAAAACTATAAACAAACGTTTATTGAGCACCTACCCACAGGCTAGCCATCACACATGGGACTGCAGGAATGAAGACTCCTGCTGGCTCTGGAGGGGACAAGCAAGCAGATGTGTGAGGAGCTGAGGGAAAAGAGCTATGCATACTGTGTGCAGAAGAGACAGGGTGGCAATCAACTGCCTGGGGAAGAGGGATCAGGTAAGATTCCAGCATAATCTTGGCTGGAGCCTAAGGCAGGATAAGGAGGGATGTATATGTTTAAAAAGCTCCTTCTCTCCCAGGTAAGTTATATCTGCATGCAGCCCCAGACTCCTTACCCCAAATCAACTCCCAAACTCTGGTGTTTATCAGAATCACCTGCTGAGGTCACAAAACAAACAAAAACAACAGGCTCCTTCAAATAGGCTCTATCAAGTTCCCCAAGGGATTGTGACACCAAAGTTTGAGAATCACTACTGCTCCACATCAAGCAGCAGTTGGCTTGGGCATGTCAGCTGGAAACTTTAAAAGTGATAGCTTAGTTGGGGGGTGGGGAGGTGGGGGGGTGGAGGTCGGTCCAAAGAAACTGCCTCATTAACATCTGAAACGACAAACCTAGAAGCATCTGTATCACTTTATTGGTCAGCTTACTGGAACTAAAGTCATAAAACCTGACTTTAAACAGCCATTCAGAGCTAAGTAGATCTAACTGGTCATCATCTAATTGCATTCATTTTTTAAAGAACAGCTTCATTGAGATGTTATTTTCCATACCATACAATTCACTCATTTAAAATGTACAATCCAATGGTTTTTAGTATATTCAGAGTTGTACAATCATTACCCTATAAAGCAACTTATTTCCCTGGCAACCACTAACCTTCTTTCGTCTCTATGGACCTGCCTTTGCCTATTCTGGATATTTCACATATGAATGGTATCGCACAACACATGGCTTTTTGTGTTGGCTTCTTTTACCGATCATAATGTTTTAAGGTTAATCCATGTTGTTATCAGTACCCCATTTCTTTTAGCCATTCATCAGTTGGTGGACAACTAGGTTATTTCTACCTTTTGGCTATCATAAATAGTGCTGCTATGAAGATGCATGTATAAGTTTTTGTGCAGACATGTTTTTTTAATTTTATTGATTTTTAGAGGAAGGGAGAGGGTTAGGGAAAGAAAAATACCATTGATCGGCTGCCTCTTGCACACCCCTACTGGGGATTGAACCGGCAACCCAGGCATGGTGACCTCTTGGTTCATGGGTCGATATTCAACCATTGAGCGACACTGGCAGGGCTGTTTTTAATCTCTTGGTTATATACCAAGGAGTGGAACTGATGGGTCATGTGGCTACTTCATGTTTAACCTTTTGAGAAACTGCTAGACTGTTTTCCAAAGTGGCTGATATTCATCCATTAAAGCTCACTACAATTCAACAGGCATCTACATCTATCTGCTACGTGCCAGACTGACTTGCCTGCAAAGACTCGCAAACTTAATAAACACCACCTAGTGTAACAAGTGACACTGAGGCAGATTCTCAGAAGAGCAGCAGCACAAATAGTGGGTGGAATAAACTGTTAGAGGGGGTTCTGAAGGATGGTAGTTTACCAGGTAGATAATGGGGGGAGGAGACAAGTAGTCCCAGCAGTTCTTTATGACTCTAGCACTGTTGGATACATATGGAAAAAGGAAGACAGGAGGGCCAAGCACAGAATTATCTGGTCCTGGTAGGCAATGGGGAACCACTGAAGGGCCTCAAAAGCTGGGAAGAACATAACCAGATCTGGGTTTTAGAAAGATATGAGACAGAGTGGAAGGTGGACTGGAAATATACAATAGAAGCAAGGAGACTACTGTGATAGTTTAAACATGACTGAAGAGTGGGATAAAGGGAGCAGCAAGGATGGGCAGATTATGAGGGATCTGAGGAATAGTAGCTATAGACTAAGTCACCCCCTTCCCATCTTCACCCAAATGGTGAGAAGAGGAAGGAACCTGGGGCGACAACTTTCTGGCTCAAGCAGACAGCATTGCCTTTAACCAATAGAGGGAACTGAGGAGAGTTTAGGGGTTTTTGAAGAAAGAATAATGAATGGTTTGGCACACTGAATTTGGGCCACTTGAAACATCCATGAACAGTAGGTCCCTGGACAAAAGACTTGGTCTGGAGATCACAGTGTCTGCACTGGAATTAATGGAAGCCAGGAACATGGACAAAGCACAAAAGGGAATAGAGTGAGAAGAGCACAAGGGACAGAACACTAGCATTTAAGGCAGCGGTTCTCAACCTGTGGGTAGCGACCCCTTTGGGGGTCGAACGACCCTTTCACAGGGGTAGCCTAAAACCATCGGAAAACACATATAATTACATATTGTTTCTGTGATTAATCACTGTGTTTTAATTATGTTCAATTTGTAACAATGAAAATACATCCTGCATATCAGATATTTACATTACGATTCATCACAGTAGCAAAATTACAGTTATGAAGTAGCAACGAAAATAATTTTATGGTTGGGGGGGTCAACACAACATGAGGAACTGTATTAAAGGGTCGGCATTAGGAAGGTTGAGAACCACTGCTCTAGACCAATGTAACATTTGGCTCAAACTCATCTTTCTGACACACTGCCTTTCCAGCATCTCTACTTGTATGTGTAACAGGCATTTTAAACTCAACATATCCTCCACCTGCCCCAAGCTGCTCTCTTCCAGCAGTTTTTTCCCATCTCAGCAAACCCCAAAGCCTCAGAGTCCTCCATGCTCCTCTTCCTCTCAGCACCCCTCACCAAATTATGTCAATAAATCCCACTGTCTTACCTTTGGATCAGTTCCCTTCTCCCACTCCTCAGCATCAAGCTTCATCACCTCTACAGTCTTAAATTGACTTACTTTTGGCTTATCTCAAGTGCTACTTCTCTCATTCATCTTGATACCCCCTGCAACACCCAGCCCAATTCTTGACAATCACGGATACTTAAAGATGCTTATTTTTCACATGAATTAAATGCACAGAAAAGTGATCTGAAGCACAGAAACTAAATAAGAAATCTGGAATCTCCTTTAATAATCACCTCCCTTTTGGGTGTGGCAAGGTAGGCATCTCCTGGGTTTTGATTTTGGTTGTCTTTAGAATCACCTGGAACACTTGGTAATAATAGAGGCCCAGATCCTACCCTCTTTGAATAAATCTTGGCCTCTGTTCTTTATTAGCTTTTTGGTGGTGATTCTGCCACACGCCAGAGTTTGAGAACCACTGTCCTACAAAATATAGCTAAAAATAGCCTAGGCTTTAGTAGTCCCAGGCCAAGTAACGCACTGTTACAACACCGGGGGCAGGCCCAGTCCACTACAGCATCAGGATCCTTCATAAAAGTCTGCAAGAGGAAGTAGTGTTCAGCTTCTTGAAGGCTTGATTATCCAAAAACCACTGGTGATCAGGAGAGCTGCATTTGATTACTCTTAAATGACTGTGTTAACTTTGGACCAGTTCTCTTCCCTCGGTACCACGCCTATCTGTACTATGGAGTTAATAATTACATATTATTTGTACGGATGCTGCAAGAAGAACAAGGTTATGCACTCAACGTTGCATAAAAACATAAATTACTTCCGACCCTAGATCCCTGGCTTCTCAACCTTGAAGGATTGCAGTCTAAGAGCAAGCAAGGCATCTGGAGGACCCGGGGGCGGGGGGGGGGAGCGAGCTTGGGGATTCGAAGAGGTGGCACTGGTTCTGGAGTTGGGCATCTCTCCCGCACTTCCCGGCCGGTATCAGGACCAGCCTAGGGTGCCCAACCGCCCACCAGTACCCGGCGGCCCTGCGGTGCAGGCTGGCCCCCGGCTCGCGAGCTAGGGACGCACATGGCCCAGGGCCGGGGGCGGGGGGAGGGGGGCTTCCGCCGGCAGCCGGCCCCTCGTCGGGCCTACCTGGGCCGAGGTGCTGAAGCTGCGGCGGAGAGCGGCGCCGGCAGGCCGAGCGAGGGCGGACAGCATGGCTGGGGCGGGCAGGGCGCGGACCAACAAGCGACAGAGCTAGCGGCGGGCTAGTGACTCCAACGACCTCCACAGGATGCAGGGCCTCCTGGCTCCGTTCCGCGGGGCCTCGCGAGAGGAGCCCAGCTTCCGGCCCCGCCTCCTCTCCCAGATCTCGCGGTATCACGGCTGTCCCGCAGGAGGGCGGGGCGACGCTCCCGGCCCAGTGGGAGTGCAGCCTACGCCTGGTTCGAATCGAGTCCTGGGCGGCGGGTCGCGGGGAGCGCTGTCAGAGCTGGGGGAGACACTCGCCCTCCCAAGAGGTGCAAGAGGACGGGGTTTAGGCCGGAAGAGTCTGAGAGGAGCCATTTTCCAGGTGGGGCTCCAGACAGACTCTGGCAGGGAGACCGGCCAACAGTCCCGCAGCCGGCCTGGCGGACTGGGTGCCGTCCGAGCCCCCCTGACCGCAGCCGAACCCGCCACCCCTGCCCCTGGAAAGGAAAGGGGCGGGGAGGAGCGGTTGAGAGTCCCAGAGGTGGGGTGGCAGGATGGGGGCTCCTTGAATCTGTCCCTCTCCTGCACCCCGTTCTCACACGTGCCGCCCACCCCCTGTCCCTCTGGGGCACCGCAGCTGAGAATGAGCGACGGTGAGCCCCGACTTAGCTCTAGGCCCTGCTGGACGAGCTTTACAGGACAGCAGCCCCGGGTGACAGAGGAAGGAACGGGTATCTAGGTAACTTCTGTTTTCACCCAGTCCCTGCCCTTCCGGTGTGGCCAGCAATGCTGGGAACACGACCGCTTTGTTTCTGCTCTGCGGACGAAGAAACTGTGGCTGCAGTTAAGGGGCTTTGTTCAGCGTTTACTCAGACAGAAAATAACAATGTGGTTCCTGCTCAAAGGGAGTTGATCATTTAAATTTATAAGTTAAATTTAAGCTTCATTTCCCCCCTCCCCCCTGCTATTTCCTGGGCATACAAAGGATCCTTGCCGTCAAAAAGTTCAGAGTCAAGTGGGGCAGGTAGATTTGCTGCAGTTTGTTGCCTTCAGAGAGGAATGCACAATCCCAGTGTGGGTTGGTGGGGACGGGCGGGGAGTCTATGACTAAGCCTGCTTGGAAGCAGCTACTTAGGAAAGCAAAGATTAAAAGAACAATTCCCATTCGTGCTAAAGACAAGGTAGTGCATGGTGACTGGTTCACTATTTCCTCCCTCCCTTCCACTTGTTTATTGAGCTACTAAGATATGCCAGCCCAGTCGTGGAGCTGGGTGTTCCACTGTGAACAAGATCCACACATTTTATGCCTTTAAGACACTCAGCATCTAGTGAGAAAGAGAGGTAAATGGCAAGCAGCATGATGTGGGCAACACTAGGAGAGTTACGAGGCACGGAGGGAACACAGAGGCGGTGTATCTAACCCAGATTTGGGGGGGGTGTGGGGCCCGTGTGAGAGAGGACCTCCGGAGGATGAAACATCTAAGCTGAGAGACGTACAGGAAGAGGAGGACTACTCAGTCGGCCGATTCCGCTCCAGAGGAGGGAGAGATCCTTGCCTGGGCATTGGAATTCTCAAAGGAGAGGGCACTAGGAGCTGGACCTTTTACAATGGAAAGTGTTTAAAGGAGGAAAGAGCCCAAAGAAAACCCTGGAGGTAGGAAAGCCTAGGCCTATATTCAGGGGACAGTGAATGATAATTTCTGATGGAATGGGGATGAGAACAAGCAGTGTCCTCTCTCTTGCCACTGACCGTGTTCTCTGGTTAATTATTTACCTCTCTGTCTTACCACTAGAACTTTGAGCACCTTGGGTCAGGTATGTCTTTCATCTCTGTGTCTTTATTGTCCAGCATTAACCAGGCTGAGAGTGATGCTTTGAACTTGGGGAGAGTTGAATGGTTTTACATAAAGCTGGAAAAAGCAGGTTGGAAAAATCAGATTGTGTAGGACCTGTGAACATTAGCTGAAAAGTTTGTATTTTATTTCTTGGGAAGCAAGTGTTTATCAAAGGCTTTTCTGTTGCCACCACCAACTGTGAAGGTTAGACTGACCCGGGCATGCTAAGGGCTTCAAGGGGAAAACGTGAGGGCAGGGAGATTGTGTAGGAGGCTATCTTATGAGATCAAGCTCTGAGCGATGATGGTGTTCATAGAAATGGAGAACATGGGGCCAAAGAGGGAACAGTCTTAAGGGCTTAAGAAATGAATGGGCCAAAACCGGTTTGGCTCAGTGGATAGAGCGTCGGCCTGCGGACTGAAGGGTCCCGGGTTCAAATCCGGTCAAGGGCATGTACCTGGGTTGCGGGCACATCCCCAGTGGGGGATGTGCAGGAGGCGGCTGATGGATGTTTCTCTCTCATCGATGTTTCTGACTCTATCTCTCTCCTTTGCTCTCTGTAAAAAATCAATAAAATATATTTAAAAAAAGAAAGAAAGAAATGAATGGAAGGAATGTGGGAAATCAGCCGGAGAGAAGTATATCTGTATAGAAATGGAGTTCAGGGGTTGTGTGGAAGGACAGCTGGCTGGAGAAAATAAAGAGCTTCATTTAAGATGAGCTGAATTGGAAGGAATGGTGAGTTGTCCATATAGAAATAACAGTAGACAGGTGGGGAGTTACTTCTAAGAAGAAATGTGAGATTGAAACTCAGGAGAGAGGCCAGGCCTGAAGTCATCCCTCTTGAAGGGAAAGTTAAGGCCACGAGAGAGAAGCTAGAATCACAGATTCTCAGGCTCACTCCCACAGATGGGGCTCAATACCCTCCCCATCCCTGCCAAGTTAGCCCTGTCTTCATCTCCACAACAACTCGCTACCTCCCAAGTCCTTTACTGGGGCCATTCCAAACAACTTGACAACAAAGCTGTCTTTACAGTCAGCTCCTATCTGCTTCCCTTTAAATCCCAAGATTGTTCATAACAGTCTTAACAGCTGCTGTATCATGCATTGACTGTGCCAGGTGCTATGCTCAGCTTCGCCCATGTAACTGTTTCACTGAACATACAGGGCTGTATTCAAGAAGCCGAATGCATCATAAAACAGATTTATGTCTTCATCCCCACTCTTTCTTGAAATATTTGGTTGCTCTTGGATTACTTCTAGTCACCAGGACAGACTCATTGCAACAGCCTAAATGTCTAGTTCACATTAATAGTAAAAATTCTGAATTTAATTCAAAATTAAAGCAACTCTCCTTCTCTAGCTTTCGTTAGGCTCCTACCTTTCCAGAGGAGGGTGGTTGACTTCTGTATTTCTCCATCTTGCTTGCTCATCTCCCCTGTACCACCACACCATGCAGACTGAGGCTTCAGACCCATTGATATTGGTGGAGGGGGATGTAAGAGTAGAGATGGGGCGGGAAAGGTCCCTTTGTCATGTGGCATTAGTAGTCTGTGAGCTTGATGAGAGTTTATCTGATTCTTTCCTCCATGCAATGCTTTTGTGGGTCTCTCTTAACTGCAGTTTCCTTGACCTAGGGGTTACACTTGTCTTGCTGCTTTCAGTTGCTCCCTCAGTCCCTGGTTTCTGAAATCCCTTGCAATTGGTCCCTTGGCCCTCCAGGTCGCTCCTCCTAGGCAAAGTCCATTTAACATGGCTTCTAGTTGGCCCTCTCTCCTGCCTGGGCCACATCTGGTCTATAGGGAACACTAATGCATCTTTTGCCTCAACAAATTATGGGGGTGCAGACCATTTCAATGCAGCTGCCTCAGACTTTTCCAGGCAAGGGCCTACCACCAGCTTCTGTGCCTGCCTAAGCTTCAGAGGGCACAGTCTAAGCTATTCTAGTTTCATGAATTGTGAATGTTTGAAACTTGTGTTTCAGACTTGTGAGACATGAATTTTGAAAAAAGAAAGAAGGGTGCTGAAAGGAGGGAGCTAAGGGGAATGGAGAGGGGGAAGGATTAGGTCAAAGGATGGTTATCTCTCTGGGAGAAAGCTGGAAGGGCAGTCAGGGGCAGTTGGTTGGGGAAGGCCTTTCATACCCAGTGTCTTTAACCTTTCCAGGTAGAACTAGAAAATTATAGAGAAGTTGCTCAATAAGGACTCAAGGAAGGTGAAGAGGTTTGGATAAGAGTTGTAGGCCTTGGGGAAATCCTGGACAAATGAGAAATGATGAAAAAAGGATTCACTGGTGGTTATGGGAGCCAAGCTGAAGTTCTGTAGTGTGTACTTTCTGTGTGTCCAAGTCCTCATCGTTTCCTATGCCCAGATCCCACACCAAGATCATGGACGTACAAGTTGGGCTACAGACTCATATCCATATACGCACCTGTGTATTCACATCTTTTTTTTTTTTTTTTAATCCTCACCTGAGGATATTTTTCCATTGATTTTTAGGGAGAGTGGGAGAGAGAGGGAAAGACAGAGATAAACATTGATGTGAGAGAAATACATCAATTGCTTGCCTTCTGCATGAATTCCAACCAGGGCCTGGGCCAGGGAGGAGCCTGCAATCAAGGTACATGCCCTTGACTGGAATTGAACCCGGGACCCTTTGGTCCACAGGCTGACACTCTATCCATTGAGCCACACTGCCTAGGGCTGTATTCCCATCTTTGAACACATAAACACATATATCTACACAGGGGATTTATTTTTAGTTTTGATTGTCATATATGATACAGTATACCAATCTTAAGTGTTCAGTTGGTGGGTCTTGTCCATTTATACCCTTGTAACGTCCACCCCAAACATGCGACAGGATATTTTCATTCCAGAAAGTTTTCTCATGATTCTTTTCATCAGTTCCCCAAGACAGCTACTTCCTGTCACCATGGATTCATCTTGCATGTTCTTCATTGTATATTTTTATACACAATATACAAATATATTGATATGCCGGGGTCCAACCCCAGCAGGTCCAGGGGTTCCCAAAGGCGTAGATGGAGTCGGCGAAGAAGGAATGACACGGAGACAGTGTTCAGTTGATCAGCAGCCTAGCCAGGATCTCCAGCCAGGATCTCCAGCCAAGTTCTGGTCTGGATCTCCAGAGAGGTTCTGCTTCAGATCTCCAGCCAGGTTCTGTGTCCATGTTCTCTTGCTAGGTTCTCCAGGTTCTCCAGCCAGGTTCTGTAGCCATGTTCCCTCGCTAGGTTCTCCAGCCAGGTTCTGTCCAGGTTCTCCAGCCAGGTTCTGTCACCAGGTTCTAGTCAGGTTCTCTTGCCCATTTCTGTAGTCAGGTTCAGTCCAGGATCTTTTGCCATGTTCTCTCCAGCGAAGTTCTTCTGTCTCTAGTTCTGTGTAGGTTCTGTCTTCTTAGTTCTGTGTTCTAAGCTCTGTATTCTAAGTTCTGTGTTCTAAGTTCTGTCTCTTGCTGTCTTGTTACATCTGTATTTATACCAGTTGATTCAATCCTATCAATCTCTATTACAAAGGTTAGGGCGTT